TGGGATTCACCATCTCCTCCAGTGGGTCTATGTTTGCTCAGAGAGACCCATCAGGTGTGCCAGTTGAAATACTTTCAAACTAAGAGAACAGAGAACCTAATTCAAACAGTTGTCAGAAATAGAAAATCCAATCCAAACATAAGTGGAAAAAGACCATTGTAGAGTGGTGATGAAGTATAGGTCAGGCACAGCTCTCTCAGCTATGCCCTCTACAGGTGTCAGCTTCATTTCCAGGCTGGGAGAGGGTGGTTACAGAGGTTCCAGGCCTCAGATCTCAGCACAAGACCAAGAGAAAAGAGGAGTCTGTCTTAAAATTGAAGACATTTATTCCTCAGAAGCCCCCCTAGAATTTTTCCACTGGCCTGCCACTGAGCTAAATGGCCATTCCAAAACTAATTCTGTGGCTATGCATTGGTGGGCTTAAGCCTGAGTTCCTCAACCCATCACTGACAAGAGAGCTGATAACTAATTACCTTTTGACAAATTAGGCCCACTTCTAGGGCAGGGTATGGTCAGCTTCCCCAGGAGCATATGGGTGGTATGGGTGGAAAGGTGGATATGTATGTAAAGCATCTGAGTATTGCTAGGGATAGTCAGTCAAAAATATCTGCTACACGAAGCCTATGAAAGAATCACCAGCCTTGAGGAATGGTGCTAAGGGAGTCCAGTGCATCTGGAAACAAGAACTATGTGGATAGATATTTTCCAAAGACCTGCTAAATTCCTCTCTGGGTATGCAGAACAAGGAGGACCTTAAAACTTAGCAATAAAGCCACTGATTATTCCACTGATCTCCCCAAACCCTCAAGTATCAAAGCCATAGGAACTAGCTGATATTGGCAAAATAGAAGCCCATGAGGTGGGTAAAAATGACTTGGGGCAACCCAGAAGAATGCCCTGAATCAACACAGCCCAATTGACAGGCAGTATAGCAGTGTGACCTTGATCACAGAGTGTCTCAGAAAAAGCCATATGGCAGTTTCCCCAGTAAGGATGAGAAAAGAGAGCAAGGATGCAGAATGATGTCTCCAAGGTGGTGCGACCTGATCTTAGTTTAAAGATCTCTATTCTCTGCGTCAGGGATGTGATTGGGACCCACTCACTCAAACTCCTCGGTATAGGTGTGAAAAAATAGAAACCCATTGATGTGGGTTTATCATGTCCCCCATAAAAGATGTGTTCAAGTCATAACTTTTGATACCTGTGACTGTGTTCTTATTTGGAAATAAGGTCTTTGTGAATGTGATCAAGTTAGATGAGATCATATTAAGGTAGGGGGAGCCTTTAATCCTTTATGACTGGTGTCCTTATGAGAAGAGGACAAGAGACACACAGGGAGAACACCATGTGACAATGGAGGCAGAGAATGGAGTGATGCTGTCACAAGCCCAGGAACGCCTGCAGTGACCAGGAACTGAAAAGGCCAGGAAGGAGCCTCCCCTAGAAAGCTTTGGAGGGAGGCTGGCCCTACCAGCATCTTGATTTCAGACTTCTAGCCTCTAGAACTATGAGAGAATGAATTTCTGCTGTTTCAAGCCACCGTTTGTAGTCACTTGTTTTGATAACCCTGGGAAACTAACATACCCATTGATTAATCACCGGGATCCCTGCCCACCAAATGCCCTCTCTAGTTAATTCTGCTGACTTACTAGCAGATGCTGGTGGAGAGATCCACCAGAAGTTGCTGGACTGTTTTGTTCATTGGAACTCTCTGTCTCACAATAGCAATGCAGCCTGACAGTCTTTAATTATGCGATGGGGAAAAAAATCTAAAAAAGGAGGAGAGATGGCTGTGTGAGTTAATTATCCGAGAAACTTCCTTGACCCTGAGCCTCACTTTCAGCTGCCAGACAAACAGGGATATCTTCCAGGGACTTAACCTTCGAATTGAAAGTAACAGCGTGCATAGTAATTTGTATCTGATAAGCAACAGGGATATACCTGCTGTATGGCACAGGGAACTATATTCAACATCTTGTAATAACCTACAATGGAGAATAATCTGAATATATATATATATATTGAATATATATTATATATGTATAACTGAATCACTTTACTTTACACCTGAAACTAACACAATATTGTAAATGAACTCTACTTCAATTTTTTTAAAAAAAGGTAGCAACGTGCAGCACAAGCAGAACCAGCATTCAACAGGGAATGAGCCTCAGTGGACAGGCACTGCCTTCCCCTCTTTGTCACAGACATCCTGTCTACGGAAGGGGTAAGGCTGTTTGTTCCACACAATGAGGGAGCTCTGTGCCGCTGGCAATTAATAAAAGGGCTATAAGTTTGGAGCAACAGGAAGTGAGAATCTGTACTGACTCCAGAAAGCCAAATAACCAAATGGATGGAAGATCCTGGAATGGTATATTATGACCAAGAAGTTTGGGGATGGCTTTTATGACAAGAATCAGGCATATTATCCCATCAAACATCTATTTTTTGCATCTTATATTTTAGTGGGTTGGATGGTGTCTCCAAGAAAGATACGTCCAAGTCCTCACCACCAGTGCCTGGGAATGTGACCTATTTGGAAACAGGGTCTTTGCAGATATAATTAAAGTTAAGTATCTTGAGATGAGATCATCCTAGATCTAGGGTGGGCCCTGCATCCAGTGACTTATAAGTGCCCTTATAAGAAGAGGAAAACACACAGAAACACAGAAAAGAAGGCCATGTGAAGACTGAGACAGAGATTGGAGGGCTGTCCCGAACCCAGGACCACCCACGATCGCCAGCAGCCACCAGAAGGAAGGAGAGAGGCATGGAGTGGATTCTTCCTCAGGGCCTTCGAAGGGTTCATGGCCCTGACAACACTGATTTTGTACTTTTGCCCTCCAGAACTGAGATGGAATACATTTCTGTTGTTTTAAGCCACTAAGTGTGTGGTCATTTGTCACAGCCGCCCTAGGAAATTATTACACATATGAACACATATCAGAAAGATTAGAGCAAAAAAAAAAAAAACCAGTTTTAACAACCAAGTAAATCCATCCATATGCCATGGACGGCTCAGAGCATCTTGCACTTGAGGTGGGGCCCAGGAGCCCAGAACTTAGGAGTTGTCATTGCTGCTGGAGCCAATTGTCAGGATGTGGGAGTTGAGCTCCTCCTGCAAAAATGTCCTGGGACATCCAAAAGGCAAAGGCCTGGAAGTTACTGAATAGACTCTATTGAACTTCTTTCTGTAATCTGAGGAATTCAGTGAGCTCTGACATGGGGAGGCCTCGCCTGATTTGAGCTTGCATTCCTGGGCAAATCACTCAGAAGCCACCATCAAAGCCCGGGCAGGCCTCTACCTTGATCTAATACGGCCTTCCTCGACTACAGCCCTTGATCTAGGAATTATTTTACCACCCACATAATAAAGGACAGGACAGACCATTAGGGAATGGTGGCCTTACCTCTCATAGGCAGCCCTGTAGACTGAGAGGTAGAATAGGGCGTTGAAGACCGGCTTAACAGGAATACCATGGGTAGCAATTCCAGACCCGTGGTGACTTGCAGGAAATTATATGCAGCTGGAGTCCTGCAACTGCTTTTATCTTAGTATGAGCATCCCCCTGCGTCTCGGGGGCTGGGTCTAAGGAAGGAGAAGTCATTATGAGCCACCTAATACCTACCACAACAGGAAAATAATTTGACTCATAACACTGAGGACTGCATTAGTTGGATGATGTTTACTTATGAGATTTTGTTTGAAGAATAACTGTCATTTGCCTGGTGTCAAAAGAAGAGATAGTTGCTAATCCTTTCAGCCAGGGAAGTGGGACAAGCAAGCCTACCTGGGCAAAGAACGGCACTGATGTGTCTGTTCCCTCCCCCTTTAAGGCAGCTGGCATGGTGTAGCGATATTGCACAACGCAAAGTTGCCCTACTGAATATTTCTCATCCTATTTGGAGTCAGTGGATCTCAAAAGCAGAAGAGAAGCTCTCAGAACCAGACCATATGGATAACAATCCATTCACAAAGCCAGCCTGGTATGACAATCATGAGGTTTTGGGAAAAAAAAAGAAAACAATATTTAATAGGTCTGCAAGCTTACCCATTTAACCTGAGGGTGAGAATGATCCCTGAGACTAGTAGAATGGTCCCTGAGGCTGGTGCCCCAGCATTTTGGCATCAAACCCCACCCAGATCAGTGTGATAGTATCACACAATCCACTGGGTGATTACCCCAGAGGTAATATACTATGTGAAATCAATCTACTACTGGCTATTCAACTGCCTGTTTGAGGGAGCCACAAGCTTGGTCGTGATTCCTCTTCATTGCAGGGGGTTGGATGGAGGAAATAGTCCTTGACATAGCCAGAGCACACGGTTTAGATCGTTTTCCTGTCACCAAGTTGTGTCTAAACCACACAATGAATGAGCCAGAGAGCAATGAGCAAGGCCCTCTTGCCCCAAAAGAGTGAGAGGACTGCTTCACACCTGCACCAGGGGAAAGAGACCAGGGAGGGGGAAGAGGGGCTGATCCTGAAGCCGTAAACAGGGAAGATTTAAAATGTCAAATATAGGCGTTTGGGGTTGACAGATGCACATTGCTATGTATAAAATAGATGAACAACAGGGACCTACTGTATGGCACAGAGATCTGTATTCAGTTTATTGTAATAAGCTGTAATGGAAAAGTATCCGCATATATATTATTTATATATATATATATAGCTTTGCTGTACACCTGAAGCTAACATTGTAAATCAACTACACTTCAATTTAAAAAAGATAAAACTTAAAAAATAAATAAAACAAAATGTCAAATATTGTGAGAAAGAGGGAAAGAGACAGAGAGAAAAAGAAGTAAGTTAAACCTCACAAGTAGAGGTACAGAAACAGCTTGGATTAAACATATTCAAAATAAAACAAAGTTAAGCTAAATTTAAATTCAAATAAAAATCCAATGCCAAATGGATAACAAATTAACAACTGAGTTTATGAAGTAAAGGTGGGCTTTATTTTGCCTGTCCTCTCTAACGCATTTAATGTTGCCCATGCTTTTAACCAGTGCCTATGCTGGTCAGGGTTTACCAGGTGGTGTGCTGCCCAAACCTTCATACCAGAAGAGGCTGAACCTGTGGTGAATTATCGTAGAGTTATGCCAAAGGTTTCATTAGCCTTTACCACCAGACATGGCAGAATGAGAAGTCATACCAGGGGTTCCTCTCATTCTACCCATATTTCTCCAGGCTTCTGTTATAGTGGATCCTACTCAGGCATCACTTTTTTGCAACAAACAGAAGCCACATCATTGGCTAGACCTCACCAAACTGCTCTTCCCAGGATGAGAAAATCTTCAGCACTGGGTACCCTGCAGTGACACTGGGGACAGCATCCACATCCCTTTGAGGCACTATGGCTTGCAAACCTACTTCCCAGAATCCATTTCTCTTCTAGACAAGGATCAGTTGGTTGCAAGGAACAAAAACTACCTCAGTTGACTTAAGCGAAGGTGGGTTATTGTAAAAGAATTAGCAGCTACCCCAGCCCCCAAAGCAGACTGTTGAAACAATTTATTGAGTCTGGAGCCCTTCCTGAATTAACACAAAAAAGGAGCCATTAAAGGATAATATAACTTATTTATTATTTCAATAGCTTTTCAGGCAGAGCAGGAAAGAAACCAGACCTCTTTTCTGCACAATAATAGGGCCCACTAACTCTGGGGAAAAGGCAAGACGCCCTTCTAATTGAGGAAGTATATCCTTTTTCAATATGGGTTTAGATTGTACTCTCTAAAAATTAATGTCTGTTCCTGGGAGCAGTGGATGGGCTAGGATAACAACTCTATTAATCAAGTGAACTGATGTGATTCCTGCTCACACATGTAAGAATACTGAAAAGGCAATCCAGCCAGGAAGACCTAAATTCACAACTAACAGACCCAGAGGCTCTTCATCCTCCTCCTCCACTCCCCTCCCCGCTCCTGTACACAGAATCCTGCAAGGTTTGGGTGACATCATATTGAATTGGCTGAAGTTCTGGGGGCCCAACTCCAATTGACAGTCTCAGATTTAGGACTTTGGGTCGGATAAGAGTGGTGAATTTGAAGAGAGAGATCCAAGAAGCGAGATCCCTTCCTGTGACAGGTGTGGAAATTAGTGGTTTTGAATGGAGCAAATTTTAAAAGGAGGCACATGGAGAAGGAAAGTTTGGCTATCTGAAAGCCAGGAAGCTTGTGGAGGATCTAGATCTGTAGGTACCGTCCCTCCTTCGAGATGCAAAGAGAAAGTCTCTGATAGGAGTTTTGTCCTTCCTTCTTTGACATCAAAATCTCCTTTCTGAAACTGCTTCAACTCCTCAGTAAAGAAACCTGCAAATACTCTGTTGAGACTAAAGGGAAAGAACAGTAAGGGGCAGAAAGATCTACCCAACCATCTCCTCCTTTGATTGATGGGAGGGAGGCAACAAGCTGGCTATAATGTGGCGCTCCCAGCGGTGACAGGCCAAACGGCTAGCAGGGAGAAAACACCCACAGAGACAGGGTAGCACTGCAGAGGTGACAGATTTGAAGAGGCCGTAAGACTGAAGCTCTGGTGTCTTGGTATAGATTAGAGGGCGCTACCCTCTAAGAGAGGGCGTGAGGGAAGCTGGCCATTCACAGTGACCAGATATCATCTGGCTACAATTAGTTCTGAACCCCAGTTTCAAGTCCAAGTTCTATACACTCTGATACACTCCTCCCACTCAGGTACCCACCCACCCACTCTCTCAGGGCTCCCATATGCCCTCTTGCTGCCTTGATTTTCACAGGAATCTGGGTGTCAAGCACAGCCCCTTCATCAGTTTTCACCGAGAAAACTGAAAATTTCTTATTTCAAGAGATCTGAAGTTTTGGAGGGTCAGTCCTGGGACACGTCACATCAATGTCACAGACTCCGCTTCCCATGCTCTGCCTCTGGCTCCTCCCTCCCTCTCCAGAGGAATCCACAAAGCTTTCCCTTTCCCCTGCAGACCCGCTGGCTTCCAGCTTCTACCTCAAATGAGCCTGTCATCAAAGATCCCCCCAAAAACTACAGAGCTCTCTCTCAGAATGGTCTGTCTCAAATGACCATCTCACAGACTCTAGGAACAAGAAAAGCCTGGGGGACTAGAACCAGGAGGTCAGAGAGCCAGACTTCTCCCGCTGATTCTCCACTAATTCTGATATCTCTCTTGTCCACCCCTCTCCTGTGCCCGCTCCTCGCTGCATCCCCTAAGCTGACTCTCTGTGTCAACCTACCAGCAATGCACCGGGTAGGAAAATGGCCATCTCAACCTGGTTCACGTGCCCTCCATCACATGTCTTGGTTGAATTTCTTGAGTGATAAGGAGAATGAGCATCTAACTAACAGCCTTGGGTCAGGTCCCATCAGCTGTGGGAATGAGATGAATGTGGTAAATGGGGCCAACCCTTACTGGATCTGTGAGCAAGACAGCTACAAAAGCTTGTTGAATAAAAGTAGCTTGTCTGTGTATCCTTGGTGCCTGTTGCAGACTTTAGGGGTACCAATAAATAATACCCTTCCTTTTCCTGCCAAAGTTCTGAATCAGCTGAGAAATAATGCAGAAGAATAAGACCCTGAGAGATCAAAATAACAACAGCACAGCCGATGAAGCGAATATTGACAAACGTGGCTCTGTCCTTTAGTGAACGGGCTCCTTGATCTTGAACTCCAGGATTAGGGAAACTAACCCACCCACTCTGTGCGAGAAAACTACAGCTCTCCCCGTTCCCCACCTGTCCCCCACCCCTATCCAGGGAAGGCCCCTATAAATTTTACTTCACAGAAGGGGAGAGCAGAGTGTGTATGTCCTGGGGAACCTGGCTAAAGAGGGTCAGGGGAGCTGAGTTGAGCATGCCCAATTCATTCAATTCATTGTCCCAAATTTACCAAAGAAGTGACCCCTTTGCCCCAGAGGGGTCAGATCAAAAATCAAGTCTGAATCTGATCAAGTCTCCAGATCTAACTACCAATTCCCCAGCAATATGTGAGACAGAGAAACATCTTCAGTGATAACACAGCAATTCATACATACGGTGGGGTATTCTACAGGGCAAATGACCCAGATGCCTCAACCGGTAAGTTTCAAAGAAAAAAAAATGATGGAAGGGAAATATATAGATGAAAAGACATCTAAGAAACCTATAAACTAGTACTAATGACGAGTTCTCGTTTGGATCTGAGTCCAAAAACAAGTTGAAAAAGTTTTATGTGATAATTTGGGAAATTTGAATCCTAATTGAATATTAAATAATATTAAGGAAAAAGTTGTGAGTATCATCGTAGTATCATGATTGTGTTTTTCCAAGTATCTTTAATTCCCTTACAGTTGAAAGTACTGTAGTCAAAACCTGGTAGAGGTGAATCAGAATGTTCTTGGCGACTCATCTCAGCAGATAAACGGTTAAAGTCAATAAAATACTTCTGGAACACAGGAAAAGTAAATTACAACTTGAATTTGCTCACACTATGATCTTTCTCTCTCTCTCTCTCTCTCTCTAATTTGCTCACACTATGATCTTTCTCTCTCTCTCTCTCTCTCTCTCTCTCATTTTGAGAAGCTTCCTCTTAATAGTTTCCTAAGTTTGGACCCTTTTGGAGGGAGTCACTCCAGGCAGCTCTGAAATCTGGACTTTTTTTTACCTTGTTAAATGTATTTAAGACCCAATCACTGTTTCTGAGCTAGTAATAACTCAGACACCTCACCCTGTAATGGTACCCTTCTTAAGAGCAATTAGATCTAGATGCATTTCCTTTTCCTTTTTTTTTTATTTATGCACTTTGATTCTCTCAACATGTGATAAGAGGAGGTTAGTCCCTCCCTTTCTTGGGGGAAGTCATTTCAAAACAACATTATTTTGCA